TCAATGTTCACTTTGTTCGTGAAAAGATTACTAGTAGAGCTTTGTGTGTTTGTTATGTCCCTGGTCCGCATCAACTTGCGGATGGCTTTACAAAGCCTCTCACTAAGCCTTAATTTTTTGAAATTTCGACACAAGCTTAATGTTGTTGATGATTTGGCTTTTGAAACATGATAAAGTAGGGTGAATGTTATCCTATGGTGATGTATGCAGGTTGAATGCATGGGATATTTTCATACACGTTAAATGTATGATATCTGTGCGATGTGACATGTACATGTGGTTAGGAGATTGTTTTTAATTTGTTATTAAGCATCTTTACAGTTGGAAGTTAGTGTGTGGTGCTGATGTTTTATAAATTGTAGTGCATTTAATGGAATGAGTTACCTTTCTTCCTCAATTCTCTTTGTTTGTCAAAGAAAAACGAGAAAAACTAATATATTGTGAATCCATTTATATTTGTCATATTTTCCGATAATCATATTAATATTAACTGAAGTTATATAACTTTTTTTCAATTATTATAAATTATTTTATCTTTACATAATAAAAATAGAATTTCATTATGAAACTTCAATATTGTCAATGTATTTACATATCAATTATAGTCCACAATTTAATTTGCATGAAATCCAATTTTTGTTGTACTCGTTTCCCTTTGCATGTTGCTTTAATTACACTAACGTAGTAACGTGGGAAAACACTTTGCATAAAAAACCTAGAAAACAAATTAATTAAGAGTGTACTAATTGTACACTAACTAAATTACCTTATTGATTAAAAAAATGGTTGTTATTGTTAGAAGTTTCAAATTCGAGCTTCAATGACTACAATAAAATTAATTGAACGATCATTGTCAAATAATTAAAAATATTTTGAATATATATTATTTTATAATTACTTTAATTTAATAAAAAGATAGTATATTCATCGTTCGAGTACCCGAGATCATTAGCAAATCGCGGGTTAGAGTCAAGCCAATAGCCCAATAATTGAAGTTAAAACCGTTATGAGGAATTTAACATTACCCAAAATCAAATCCTTTGAATCATTACTAGACATGAGCCTAGAAACGTCTTAGTCCCGCAACAAAGATTAGTGGCGTCAATGTAGAATTTAACATGCAAATATGATTATGAACACGGGTTTTTTCTCTCTCCCAGTTCTAAGGATTTTCCTTAATTAATTTGGATCGATCTACGTCGCACATTTGATTTTGGTGGGTGAGTCTCCCAACAAAGATTTTTTGCATACACAATGACTCGAACCTGAGACATTACTTAAGCGAAATCAAGTTGCTTACCACTTGAATCAACATATGTTGGTTGAACACGTGTACTTTGTGACACGTGTACTTTGTGACACGTGTTTTAAAATTTGAGACCACTATACTTTTAAAAAATTTACTAATTAAAAAAATATATGCACTCCTAAAAAAAAATTTAAAAATTTAATATTAATTCTCTCTCCTCATTTTTTTATCTTCTACATCAATCAAGAAAACTCTTGCTATTATCTCTTTTTTTTATAAATATTTTGATATTTTATAATTTTACTTTATTATCCAATATTTTAAGAATGTTTATAATTTTACTTTATTATCAAATATTTTAAGAATGTCATTTTAAAAAGCAATATATGACCTACTTATATCTTTATTATCAAATATTAAGAATGTCATTTTAAAAAACAATCTTATTATTTGTTCAGAATCATTTATACAACGAATGAAAGCTTAATACATAATCAATATAAATATATATATATATATATAAAACGTACTCCTCGTTATTACCACAGCTCCACTCTAACCTTGGTATCAAAAATATATATATATATTCATTCCAAAGGGACTGTCAAATAATCCGTCAAACCACCCATGTTAGCGAGGCTGTCAAATTGTCTCATGCTATGACCTTGGCATTTAAGTACATGGTTTTTAATTATAGTTAAACAAAAGTCCAATGTTATGCCGACCTCTTCGTAGTCTTTTCTCCTCTCTTTATTACCTCCATGTACTTTTCCTTGTCTCTTTCCATAGCCACACTCTGACACTCTTCTTTAAATCACACACACACACGCATATATATACATGCAGTTATGGGTTGATAGATATAGAGAGCTGTAAAAACCAGAGGGAGGTCGATGAGCTTAAATTTCCCCGAAACATGTCTCTGCACCAGTTGTGGAGTCATCAACCAATGATTGAACTGTAAGTTATTTCTTGTACGGAATTTTCTTCTCACTCACACAAAAAATATTCCAACTGTCTTTGATCGTGTACTGATAATTCTGTCACAGTTTGGAATAAAATGAAGCTAACAAAACCCTAAGTTTAATTTTAAAATTTAGAGTTTAGGGTATGTCATTGATTCTGCCTGGCTCCCTGCATGCCAACTATGGATGCTGTCGATTAGTGTTGGCCCTTCCTAGTTGGCATCCGAGGAGTCAGGCAGGTCGATATCGCTTACATACCGACGAAGAACCATGGAGGTTCCCTCGGAGTTCTTTGCTGAACTCTGGATAATTGTTGCTGGTCATTGTTACATTAATTGACTATGTTGTTGATCATGACCTTTCTGATATTTGGACCGAGACAGTTAGGAAAATTCCCTTTCGGTTAAGATACAATGGTGTAATTCCCTTTGAAAAAAAGGGCGGGGCAAACTTGGAGTAAATATAGCAAATTGGTTTTGAGGCCATTGTCCTCGTCCCCTTGTTTCGGACACCATTTTTGGCTTACAACCTTTGAATGGAGATTTTCACTCCATGGAAGGACAAGGTTCCCTGTCTGTTCTTTCATTCTGTCTCTTTCCCAGAAAAATAATGACAATTTCTGCTCAAAACAAACCAGACTGCTCACGGATTTCCCTTCTGCAATTTTGTTTTGGCACCACTTTTTATTTTTCTATCCCATTGGCCAGAAGCTAAGATCTCAGCTCCCTTTAATCCCATGAAACTTTCCAACACAAGGTAACGTTATTAGATAGGATTATAAACAACTTATATATGTACAATCCTGGGAAATATTTTCACGATAAGATCAGACCAGATGCAGTAGAATTGAATCATTAGAGGCTTTTGCATGAAAATAAAAATTGCATTTACAAATGGCATTTCATTTCTCCGTGAGAGCTCAGTCAGTTTCAGGCTCGGCGTATTATGCAGAAAGAATAACCGAAGAACCAAGCCCTACGAGCAATAAAAACGCTCAGACCACCGTCACGTTGGTGTACCAAACGAATGTAGTAGACTATTATCGGAACATCAAGGTTCTATGGTGCAAGAACGCTATGAACCATTCTCTCAGCATCATGGTGAATAACACGCAAGGGAATTTCCAGTACTCGTGCAAGATCGATCTTAAGCCTTGGCATTTCTGGAGCAAAAAAGGGTATAAATCCTTTGAGGTTGAAGGGAGCCAAGTGGACGTTTACTGGGATCTTTATTCCGCTAAATTCACCGGCGGCCCCGAACCCGTCTCGGATTATTACGTCTCGCTTGTTGCCGACGAGGAGGTGGTTTTGTTATTGGGGGATTACAAGAAAAAAGCATACAAGAGAACGAAAGCGAGACCGGCTTTGGTTGAACCTCTCTTGATTTACAAGAAGGAAAACGTGCTCGCCAAGAAAAGCTTCGCGACCCGAGCTAGATTCGAGGACAATAGCAGAGAACATGACATTGTTGTTGAGAGTTCAATAACCGGAATGAAAGACCCAGAAATGTGGATTAGCATGGATGGGGTAGTTTTGATTCACGTCAAGAATTTGCAATGGAAATTCAGAGGGAACCAGACCGTCTTGGTGGATAAACAACCGGTTCAAGTCATGTGGGATGTCCATGACTGGTTGTTCAACAGCCTCGGAACAGGCCACGGTGTGTTTATATTCAAGCCGGTGACGGCTGAAGCAGAGAGTGACAAAGAAGGAAGTGGCCACGGTGGAGGAGACAGCGACACTGCAAGCAAGTATTATTCTACACTAGGTGTCGACACCGCATCGGAGTTCAGCCTATTTCTTTATGCCTGGAAGATTGAGTGAAAAATATTGAAAGTTTTTTTTTAATTGCAGTTTCCGTTTTACAAAAAGAAATACATTTTACAGGTAATTTTCATGCTTGTATAATGTTCAAAATACTGTAAATTATATACTTCATCTTACAATAATATTGTTGTATATATTATTTTTGTTCATATCAATAACATTTCTCTTATATGCTTCATCGTTGTGAAACGTCCAAGAAGCAAAATGTTTAATTAAAAAAAAGCATACATTTACAAGATTAATAACTAACAAATCAAAAATAGAAAATGAGAATTATGATCATAATTGACTGATTATACAACAAAACGTGAATGATAAAAAGGATCCTACCACAACTGTTTGAAAATTGAATAGAAAGAAAGAGTTAATTGCAGCATATGTCCCTAAACTATGACTCTCTTTTTAAATTGATTCATAAACTTTTGAATATTCCAATTTCATCCCCAAACTATGACTCATTATAAATTAACCCTTAAACTTTTGAACATTCTAATTTTATCCCTAAAATATGACCCTCTTTCAAATTTAGTCCCCAAACTTTTAAATATTCCAATTTCATCCCCAAATTCATCCAAATATGGAATTAGTTTCAACAATAATTTAACCTAAATTTTGATTTTTTAAACATATAATAATATAACTTAACCTAAAAATTTTATTAACAATGAATGTGATTAGTATATACGTATTGTTTGGGATAAAATTGGAATGTTCAAAAAGTTTGGGACTAATTTAGAATCAATGCCATAGTTTTGGGATGTAATTGAAATGTTCAAATGTTTGATGACTAATTTAGAATTATAATAATAGTTTAGGGATGAAATTGAAATATTTAAAATTTTAGGGACCAGTTCAAAATATGAGTCATACTTTAAGGACATATTATGCAGTTAACTCAGAAAGAAAGGGTGCAGGGTATCAAAACGAATTCCCCTTTTTATTTTATTGTTCTCCAAGAAAAACTGCTGGAAGGAACGAACTAGCGTCGTTTCCATGGATCTAAAGGAAAATCTGGAATCACTCTCTCTCAAAAACAGCGAAGAAAGCCATAGTGGAAATTTATGGAGATTAAAGGTAGATTCGAATGTGTTCTTCATTTATCAGGACGAAGATGGGTTCGGAAATGCCATCGCCCGAGTTCTGAACCCTACTCCACAGCCTTATAATAAAGTGTGAGTCCCCTCTCTCTTTCTCAGTCCCTCTTTGGTTGATTTTTATTAAAAGCTCTGATTCAGATTGTTGCATTTTCATTGTTTATATTGTTTCAGCTCAGAGGTATTGAACTTGGAATTGGGGGATGTAAAATTGAATGGCTCTGTTACTCAATTGAGAGAGAAAGACGATTTGAAGGTACTGTTTCCTTCCTTTAGCCATTAATATCGAAACCCATTTATTTAAATTACAGTTATTTTCGTTGGTGGATATAGTTTTGTGGATTTGTTTGTAAATGAGGAACCTATAGAGCTACTCCATTTTTTTGAGTGTTTGGTTCCTGATAAAATAAGAGGACTGCCTGCTGTGGTATTGTTATTTAGTTATCTAAAAGGTTAAAAGCCCATTGGTAAGTGAGCTTAATGGAACCCTCTTTCACTAGTGAACGCTCGCCATCTGCATATTCAAACATGATATTTTCGTGTTGAATTAAGTTTGACCTTTGGATTTTCCCTTGTGGCTAATTTAGAAAATGTTTTCCCACTGGATTGATGTGTTCTTAGTTGCCTGTCAATGTATATTCATAAGTTTTGATCTTATTTTGTTTTTTAAAAGAAGGAAATGGAATGGAATTTTGGAGCTCTTATTGACTAAGGGACGAAGAATGTCGTTTAAGGAATTGCAGAACAGTAGAAATAATCTAAACTTATGATAGAAATTGATTTAACGAGTGAATCGAATGGTAGTTTGCATCACTTTCTTTTTAAGCCTTCTTTGTGTTGGTTTTGTGTATTTGGCAATCTTAGTGGTTAAGCAATCATCCTTGAGAAACAACGATCTTGGCGCCATTTGTCTTCAAGGATGGGTGTATCAATCCACTGAATTTCTAACGTCTGGGTTTATGAGCAATAACTAGAACAATGACTTTAATACTGTCTTTGGTAGGAGGGAAAGAGTAAGGAACGATAAGGAGTGGAAGGACAAACAACGTTCTTTCCACCCCGTCATTAGTTTAGGAGGAATAGAAATAAGAAGAGCGAGGGAAATGAGAGCATTTTTATTCTGTACTCATTCAACATAAATTAGCAATTTTAATTGAAACTGTACCAAACGTACTGAATCAATTTTTTTTTCTTCATATCCATTTTCTTTCCTACGATACATGGTGTGAGGTGCATATTTATGTTGTTTATCTTGCTTGCTGGCTACATGGCGTGAAGTGCATATTTATGTAATTTTATCCTTTGTTTATCTTGCTTGCAGGCAACTATGGTAATGATAGATCGTTTGGAGCCACCAGCACTGTCTCGGGTTATATATTCAGTTCTGACAAAAATTGTGGATGCAGAGCACATATCATCTACTGTACCCACTATCATAGCCCCTTTTCTTGTACCGGCATCAAAGCTTAAGTTGGAAGGTAGATTGATGACAACAAATAGTGGAAAGTTTCCTCTTTATGGTATCCAAGTAGGCCCTAAGACTGATGTAAGTCGAGCCATTGCTTCCAAAACCCAGAAGCCACCTCCATCTTTGCAAATTCATTACGAGCCTCTGGCCTGCTTTCTTCACCTGGTTCGTGCTGCAGACTTGCCAACTTCTATTATAGTTGGCCAAAGAAGCCAAAGCCCGTTTAATCAAGCTATAAATGAGGATCTGCAGGTATTCATTCTCTTGCCAGTTTAAAGCCAATGTAGTTAGCAGATCGTGGCTTGATTGAATAGAATAAGCTAGAAATGATGATCAAAAGCAAGATTCTTGAGACTAATATTGAATTATATGTAATCTAATTCTGGGAAATGGCATTTCAGACCCTCTGTGAGATAGGAGAGGTTGCGGCAAGTGCGATGGGGTTGTACTTCCAGAGAGAAGAAACTAAAACTAATTGGATTCCAACAGCTAAAGCAGCAAGTGGTGGTGGTGGAGAGCCATGGCGCACATTCTATGGTTAAATGTTTTAGGTTCCTGCAGGAAGCAGAAACTGAGGTTTAGCATGCGAGTGGGTGCATATTGTAGTCAAAACTAGTGCCCATGGTGCTGAATTTTTTAGATATGATACGAAATGCAGTGAGCAGTGGCTTAAAATAGTTGAAAGATGATCTTATATGTTCCGTATTTGTTGGATGTATCATATGATCTGGGAATTTAGTGCATGAAAGGTGTTCATCATGTTGGAAGGTGATCCCACATGTTTCTTGAATGGTTGACTGACCCCATCTATTATTTCTTTCAGGTTATTCGGATGTTTCTTCCATAACATTTGTACTTTTTTAAATTCAAATTTTAAAAATATTTGAAGTTGACAAAAATCAAACTTGATTGCCCAAAATTTAATGGATGTTAGTGTATAATATAAAGATTTATATTTAATGCATAAACACAGTAAATTATATGGTGTCAAATTATCAAAATATAATGTACCATACTTGTATGTAGAGATGAACATTTGTCGGATTTCAATCCGATCCGGATCGGTTTTTATCCGATCCGGTTTTTTCTCATAGAAAAAAATCGGTTTATAAAATAACCGGTTCGGTTTTTAACCGGTTTGGGGGGCCGGATATCCTAACTGGTGTAACCGGTTTCGGTTTTAAAAAAACCGGTTTTTTTAAAAAACCGGTTATAAAAAAACCGATTTTAATATTACAGATTGCTCATAGGGAATCGATTCCTCCCCAAGGGGGTACCGATTCCTCACTGAATGGTTTGACTCCGAGATTTCTAGAATGCTCGGAGGGAACCGATTCCCCCATAGGGGGTACCGATTCCCCCTATTCAACGGTCGAAATATTTGAATTTTACACTTAGGGAACCGATTCCCTATGAGAGGAAACCGATTCCCTATGAGAGGGTACCGATTCCCCCACGCTCCAAGCATTTTTATTAAATGTTTTCACACTTAAACGGCTATATTATCTTCATTAATTATCACTAACGTTCAGAAGTGATTCAAGGTGTATTTAAGCAAGCTTAGAAGCCATGATCAAAGACAAGAAACATCAAGCAACTAGAATCAAGAGAGAATCAAAGAGAAAGCATCAAACCTCAAGTTCGATAAATTCAAATACTTAATTGAAATACTTAATTAACTCAACATAATTGAAATACTTAAATACTTCCAAGTTTGATAAATTCAAATACTTAAAAACTTCCAAGTTCGATAAATTCAAATACTTAAAAACTTCAAGTTCGATAATTGAAACAAAGTTTACGATAATTGAAATAAAGTTATAAAATAAACTATATTGCCATCTCTTCTTCATCATCTTCGCCTTCTTCGTTTGGAGGGGATATTCCAAGTTCGACTTCTTCAATGTGTAAGTTTGCTTCCAAATCGGTATCAATTGCATCTTCTAGGGTGGTGATATGTTGCTTACGAGCCGCTCCATCCAAATAATCATTTAAACAAATGCATACTTCCACCGACTCGGGACTTAGTCTTGATCTCCGTTGCGATATAACCCTGCCACTAACAGAAAAAGCGGATTCCGAAGCTACCGTAGAAGCTTGGACGGTTAGTAAATCACGGGCCATGGCGGCTAGAATCGGAAATTGTGCTTCATTTTCTTTCCACCAAGCTAAAATATCTAAACTTTCAAACTCTTCAAATGTCATTTTTGATAGAAAATCGCATGACATGTAATTTCCCAACTCGCTACTTGGGGTGGTAGTACGTGATCGTTTGGATTGGGAATTTACAAGAGTGTTAAAAAGATTCAAATTTATGTTACTTGGACGTCTACTAGATGATTCCGCATTCATTCTCATTTGATCGTGTATTACACTACTTGATCCGTATTTAGTTAAATAAATTGCAAACATGTCTCAAAAACATTTGTTAAAATAATTTATTTGGTTTTGGACAAAGTTGGGTTCATCATCGGTTAGATTAAAAGCAAACGCAATTTGTTCAATTAGTGTTTTAACCCCACCAACATTTAACTTGCTGTCCCTTGTTCCCATATGTATGGGGTAAGGGGGAGGTAAGATAGTAGGCTGCCCCCAACACTAGGTTGAGAACAGCTTCCGTAGGAGACCTCCAAATTATGAAATGTCCTCCATGGGACTCGATCCCACGACCTCAAGGTTAAGAACCTTGTGCTCTACCAACTGAGGCAAATCGGTTATTTTGGCTATAGTTTCCCAACTCGAATCCAGATAAATGTTTGGGACATGACCCCTCTCGAAAAGCCGATCGTGAAATGTTTGCAATATTTCTCTTTGCCTTAAGGCAGTATGCATCATCATCCAAGTTGAGTTCCAACGAGTTGGACAATCCAAATTAGGACCCAAAGCTTTTTTATTAACGGACTTACAAAAATCGTTTCATTTAGTCTTTTGCTGTTGTTACAAAGAACCGATTTTATCATTGTTTTAAATTCTAATCTAATCGGCTCAATAACCTCCAAACCGGCTTGCACGGATAAATTAATTATGTGTGCAACGCAACGGGTATGAAAAAAACGCACCGTCTAAAATCGGTGAAAGTAATATTTTCAATCTTGGAACCGCGTTTGTATTATTCGATGCATTATCAAATGATATAGAAAAAACTTTATTTTCTAATTTATAAAGACAAATTACCCTTTTTAAAAGTGTAAATAAATTAGTACCGGTATGCGGCTCACCGAATAATTCAAACGCGATTGTTCTTTTCATCATTTGCCAATTATCTTGATCTAACCAATGTGACGTAACGGCTAAAAAAGAATTTCCGGTATTATGAGGGGAACTCCAAACGTCACATGTAAGCGACACACCATAACGGTGTTCTTGGAATCCTAAAATCATTTTTTCCCTCGCCGTACGCCACATTTTTATAGCATCTCTTCTAAGGGTAGTACGATTTACTTGAGTATAACGTGGTTGCATTAGTTGTTGAATTGTTATCGTGAAATCTTCATCATCAAAGTGGTCGAACGGCAATGCTTTTGTAATCACGAACTTTGTAAACGCTTCTCGTAATTTTTCGTTGTCGTAAACAAAAACACCACCTTGCGGTGTAAGATTCGATTGACTAGGATCTGATCTTGAGCGAAGTGCCTTGCATGATTTTGTCAAATGGTTCTTCAACGTTGTGTTTCCTTCCGATGCAAGAAACTTTAGACAAAGTTTACAACGCGCCCTCCTCGAGCCATTTGATATCTCACATAAATCGTAGTGATCCCAAATGTCTTTGTTTCGAGTGTGTTCGATCACTCTCACGACTTCAAGGTTTCCCCCGACGGAAGATTCAGCCGTGTTACTCATGATGAACAAAAAATTACAAAAGTAAGATTTGAGAGATGTTTAAGTGTTGTGTAATAAGATTTGAGAAATTTGTAATCAACCAAATACATCCCCAACCTATTTATACATGTTTAGGGTGGTAAAATGGTAATTTTTTAAAGAAAAAAACGGTCAAAAACAGTCACAAAACCCTCCCAACGGCTATATTAACGGCTAGTTTTTTAAACCCATACCAGTTTTTTTTTCGGATAAAAACCGGTTTTTTCAAACCGGTTTTTTATCCGGTAAAAAAAACCGGTCTAGGTTTTTTTCTCCAAACCGGTTAAAATAACCGGTTTAAAAAAATTCGATCCGGTTAAAAAAAACCGGTTTTTCCCAAATCCGGTTTCGGATATTTTTTTCGTAAAATCGGATATTCGAATTTTTTGTACACCCCTACTTGTATGGTTGAAGCCCTCATTGTTTGTACGATGGTTAGCTGTGTATTTGTATGATGTTATAATTATGCTCAAATTGTCTTTTTTCAGTGTATTTTTCTTTGATGAAAGACATAAAAGTTATGCACTAATTTCGGCTTCACATTGTTGCTTGTTTGAGCATTTTCTTCATAAATTGTTCTAGAAGAAGTGACGACTTGCCGTTAGTAAATGTCAGGTCAGATTTCATTTCTTTTTTAGATTGTGGATGTTTAAAGTAACCAAGAATCCAATGCCTTGGAAGTGAAATACACTCTACAGATACCCGTAACCTTCCTCTATTAAATACAGCCTAATGACCGAATCATATTACCTTATTTTTTAACAAAGTAGAGTTGTATTACATTTTAAACAAACTGCTGGTATTCGAATTCACACATAATAATATAATATAAATATTCTTGACCTCTCGATCAATTAACACATCTCAATCATATCAATTCATGTTCATTCTCATCGTTCCACATTGAAACGCAGCGTTTTGAACCGTTTGGACGACCTTGCTATATATTCTCGCGTGGCTTTTAATGATGAATGAAACATACTCCCCCACGCTATTTGGCTTTTACCCTTTTTGCCACTTGTTTCTTCTTTAAAAAATTTCATTTATTTACAGTGGAAATATCTTTGTATTAAGACAAACAAGGAAATAATATTTTATTTTCTCAACTTATTACATTATCTTATGATATTCCCATAGGCACCAACCTTGGAGCAAAGTGCTACATTTTGTAGCATTTTTTAAATTTTAAGTAATCATAATAGTAAAATATTCTTCCTTACCAACAAATAGTGAAAGTGATGATACAATGTCTTAAATTAATGATATATTAAAAAGAAAATCTTTCCTAAACCTCATCCTTCATCTTCAAGTTCAAGTGACATAAAACTATTATTAAATATTTTTTTTATTATATACTAAATATATTGTCGTTGTCGTTGCTGCTTTGCTTATTATTGAAATATATCCTTGGCTTCACTTTTCAGGTTGTTGTCTTGTCTAGTTGGATTTGAAGTAGCCGCCTCATCCATAAGCAGAAAACAAACCCTTATTTAATCTACCATCCATATTTTATTAACAAAATAGCACATACGATTAAAAAATATTGTAACATTAAATATAAGTGACACTAAATAATATTTTTCAAAGTCGATATTAATACTTTTGCTTTAATCGAACGTAGTTTATAAAATAATTTATTGATTCATTATTAATTAATTAAAAATGTCTTAAAAATACAAAATGAAAATTTTAAAATTGATTTTTTTAAGTTATGGATACAGCTAAATATATACCTAATTTTGCTTTTTCTCTTCTATTTTGCTTTTTTATGTGTTTTCTTTAAATCGTGTTCCCAATTTAATGCTTAATTCTCTCTCTCTTTACACTTTTTCTTTACTTATGTCATCAGATTTGTCCTAATATATATACCCACAAGGAGCTTATGCGGTGCGACCCAAAAAAAAAAAAAAGTTAAAAAATGACGTGACCGGT